TATAATGTGAAAGGAAAAAGTAAATATTGAAAATTGAAGCTATTATTTATTCATATCTCTTGTTTTCCTGTCTACTATTTTCGCTTTTAATCAAGCTTTATGAAACCAAATATTTTCTCATCTGATATTGTATTCAATATGGTCTTGAAGATAACAGCAACTACAAACAATGTCCATGGCCCCTTAGATTTAGTTTGCAAAATGTTATCCTAACAAATTTCAGTTTCTTCTTAAATTAATTACTCTGGTAATTGCATCTTGACAAGTAACCTGAAAATTAACACATCATCCAATTGGAAGAATCTTAGACGTAAAGATTCTTAATGTTATTTATGAGTTATGAGTGCTAACTGGCTGCATATATATTGTAACTAGTGCTGCAAATTTAAATTATTACATAATCTAACTCTCATCTTTTGTCAGTTAAAGAAATCATGCATAAGTAATGTCTGTTGATCCTATCATTTATGATCTGTGTTAACAAATCAAGCATCCAGTGTGGTAAATTTGAAGGGGCAAAATAAAAAAATAAAATAAAATAAAATAAAAATAAAAATGATAAAATAAAAAAATTCTTTTCATAATATTCGAAATATTATTATGAACATTATTTTGTTGCATACAGAAGTAAATAATAGAATTTGTCAGTGGATGTGTAAATTTAGGATATCTGTTTAGCAGATAAATCATGGATTTAGAAATTGGACGTCCAACCAAATATCACGGTATCTAATTTACATACTTGGCAAGACTTTTATCCTACATTTCTGACATCAGAAATTTCCCAAATAACATCATTTTTTCGATTTGGATAACATGGTTTCCTATGAAATTTGCGTCATGCCAGATATGCGTATAATCTGTAGTTTTTAGTTTTTATTCAATCCATGTATTGATGAATTGTATTCATTTAAGCACGTCTATTTCTTTGCAATATACATGCATCCAAGTGGATCCTAAATCTGTTTTATTTTCTGCTGGGAGTTATATTTTCTCTGAACTATAAATGATGCAGATGCGAGGAATATTCAGTAAATTTCAAGGCTTAGTGGAGGATGGGGATTTAGAAGGATTGTCATTGGCCCTCAGTGAAGTTGAAAGTGTAGAGGATGCTCAAGAGGAATACATGCTTCAGCTAGAGAAGGAAAAGACATTGCTCATCAATAAAATAAATGAACTTGGTCATGAAATAAGTAGAACATCATCAACTCCAGGCAAAATACCTTACTAAAATTTAATATTAGTAGTAATAATAATAATAATAATAATAATAATCCCCTTAAATGATTGTTAAATATATATACATCATTATGTATACGTGTGTCCTCAGGAAGAAAAAAAATGTTATAATTTCTTTAGTTCTTAATTAAAAATTAGAAAAATCGAACAGATGTTAAGTTTTTGTTTGTAATTAAACATGTGTAGTTACATAGAGAAAAAAAAAGAATAGCAATAAAATCCTTCCACTTGAAATGGCTTTTATATTTGTTATTTATTCTTAATTTGTGTTTGTACTTTATATGGAATAAGAGTTTATGGTATTTGATTTCATTTTGTGTGTGCTTTCTATCTACTTTGCTGTGTTCAAAAACCTTGATATTATCTATTGTTACTATGGAGCTACATTTGTCATAGGCATTTATGTAAACATGCACTAAAATGCATGAGAATATATCTAGTCTTGTTATTTGGATCACTTGTGTTGCCATTCTTGAGAACGCCAAGCTCCTCGCCATGTTCTGGAAAGCTCATCTTGGGAGGTAGATCTGTTCAATGTTCGATAATATCTTGAAAGTCCCCTCCTTCATGTAGTTGGGAGGGGAGGAATTTTCTACAGTGGGTTGTGAGTTTGGAACCATTGAAGCAATTCTTCTGTCTTCTCCTTCATGTAGATTCTGGAATTTCATGATTTATTGAAACTTTTAAGAGGTCTTGCATGGTGTCGCTCTTCTTGTTTCTACGCAGGAAAGGTTTATCTTGCTCGTGGATGTAGGCGTGGGTTGTGGTTGAACCACGTTAGTTTTAGCGTCCTATTTTGGTTGGTTGGTGGTGTTCTATTCCGTACTTTATTTCAGCCTCTACTCGCAGTGTAGATATTTGGCTTGGGTTTTATCTTTTTGTTCCTACATAAAAATCTTGAGCAGGTAGGCCTTGATTCATACCGCATGAGAGATGTTTTGTTATACATAAATAATTTTATGTGTAAGAACATTGCGTAATTCTTGTCAGCGGTATCCCTTTGATGATTGTGCTAGTCCAAAGTTCTTTGAGCTGGGATTTGTATCCGCACCTTGATGACGCTCAAATATGTTATTGAAAATTGGTATCATTACGACTTACAAAGTCCCTTTCACTCCCGTCATAGCTCTGAGGTCAGAGTCTTGGGTTAATATTTTACAGCTTTAACATGCTTTTGTTGTCGGTTGAGCGAACTTTTCATGGATCAAAACTTGGACTATTTTCATGCAACAATATGTTTTATTAATTCATTTTAATTGTCGGCCTGGTCGATCTGAAGGGAAGATCTGATGCCACCCTAAGGATCCTCATAGCGCGTTAAAACCTCAAAATTGTCGTAAAAATTATTCTCAAACAATATCCGGCCAGGGGATTCAAGTGCATAACCTTCTACGACATTGACGTTCATGGAAAGACAAAATAACCAGAAAATCTAACTTGTGCCTTCATTAATGTGTCATGTAAGTTTGAATTCTATTAGAACCTGCACCGCAGGGAAAAGCTTACCCATCCAGGGGACGGTGAAATGCCCAAACTACGCCCCCTGCTTGATGCCTCCTTGGCTTGAGAATGTTATGCGTTGTGCGGGACGTTCAAATATGATTCATACTGCTTGTTAAGCGGCAATAGTAATATGACAGGTTCTTTTATTTAATGAGTGAAGAGGTACACACACACGTATATGTACACACACACACACACACACACACACACACACACACACACACACACACACACACACACACACACACACACACACACACACACACACACACACACACACACACACACACACACACACACACACACACACACATATATATCTATATATATATATATATATAGGGAGAGGTTCTAATAAAAACCTAGAGAACTAAAAACCAATCCTAACCCTCCAATCTATCTAATCCAATGGCCTACATTTCGATGGCAGAATTGTAAATATAGACAAATTTAATACACATCATTAATGTGAAAAGGGTAAAATTGGAACAATTAATTACATAGTTCTCCATTTCCCCATGCAACTCTCTCTCTCTCTCCAAAATCACAGCAGCTCTTTCCTCTCACGTTCTCCTCTCTCTCTCTCTCCTCCATTTCCCAAAAGCTTGAACCAGCCCCCTCTCTCTTCCTCTCTCTCACCACCACAAACACCACTAACTCCTCACCGAGCTCCTCCAACTCCACTGCCCCTGAGCTCCCTCCGACGAACCGAAGCCGCTCTGACGAACCGAAGACGCTCCCTCAGACCCGACGCCGTCAACCTCCTCTCCATCTCCTTCGCCACCTTCAAACAACCCAGATCCGAGCTCCTCCCATCCAAGCTTTCGCTGGAGTGAATCTGGATTCACTCCAGTGAATCTGGATTCACTCCATTGAATCTGGATTCACTCCATTGAATCTGGATTCACTCCATTGAATCTGGATTATATTGAAGCTCGATTCATTGGAGTGAATCCAGATTCACTGAATTGAATCCAGATTCACTGGACTGAAACTCGTTATCAAACAATAGCAAATCTGCAAAAATAAAAAACAAAAAGAATAAGAAACTTATGGTAAAAAACAAGCTATAAAATTTTAAACCATGATAAGATTTCACATTTTACAGCAAAAAGTTACGATTTTTATGGTAAAAAACAAACACCTCACATAACTGAATCTGGATTCACTGCAGTGAATCTAGATTCACTCATGCGTTTATTTCTTCAAAATTACAGCACATGCATTTATTTCTTCAACAATTCATTAAAAACCATCCTAACCATCCAAGCTTTCGCTGGAGTGAATCCGGATTCGCTGGAGTGACTCCGGATTCGCTGGAGTGACTCCGGATTCGCTCCAGTGACTCCGGATTCGCTCCAGTGAATCCGGATTCGCTCCAGTGAATCCGGATTCGCTCCAGTGAATCCGGATTCGCTCCAGTGAATCCGGATTCGCTCCAGTGAATCCGGATTCGCTCCAGTGAATCCGGATTCGCTCCAGTGAATCCGGATTCGCTCCAGTGAATCCGGATTCGCTCCAGTGAATCCGGATTCGCTCCAGTGAATCCGGATTCGCTCCAGTGAATCCGGATTCGCTCCAGTGAATCCGGATTCGCTCCAGTGAATCCGGATTCGCTCCAGTGAATCCGGATTCGCTCCAGTGAATCCGGATTCGCTCCAGTGAATCCGGATTCGCTCCAGTGAATCCGGATTCGCTCCAGTGAATCCGGATTCGCTCCAGTGAATCCGGATTCGCTCCAGTGAATCCGGATTCGCTCCAGTGAATCCGGATTCGCTCCAGTGAATCCGGATTCGCTCCAGTGAATCCGGATTCGCTCCAGTGAATCCGGATTCGCTCCAGTGAATCCGGATTCGCTCCAGTGAATCCGGATTCGCTCCAGTGAATCCGGATTCGCTCCAGTGAATCCGGATTCGCTCCAGTGAATCCGGATTCGCTCCAGTGAATCCGGATTCGCTCCAGTGAATCCGGATTCGCTCCAGTGAATCCGGATTCGCTCCAGTGAATCCGGATTCGCTCCAGTGAATCCGGATTCGCTCCAGTGAATCCGGATTCGCTCCAGTGAATCCGGATTCGCTCCAGTGAATCCGGATTCGCTCCAGTGAATCCGGATATATATATATATATGATTTTTTTTTACTCCCTTAAATATTCAGCATATTGAAACTAATCTTGCAAATTAAGAAATTGCTAGCCCCTTAAATCCTGTTAGTTAATTCAGATTAGCCCTAGTTACTCATGTTTTACTTTTGGAGGAATATTCCATTTAGCTTGACTTTTTGTCATGGATTTCCAACTATACCCCCTTGTTTAAGGTAATCCCAACGCATCTAATAATTCGTTTAAAAACCAAAATTATTAACTCCTGTTTTTGGCCCTGACCCATTTCCGAACTCCAAGTAAGGAAGGGACTTGGGGAACGGCTAACTAGGTGCGCAAGTGTAATTCAGATGTGAATTTGACGACTAACCCGACCAGAGTTAGCAATTTCGACAACGTAGCAAATAAAGTGACCAAGGGGAAATAACTAATAGGATTTGAGGGACTAAATAATAATTTCTAGAGTTCGTGGGACTAATTTCAAAATATAAGAAACTGAATAAGAATTCGTGAGACCGGCTTCAAAATATAAAAGAGTCAAGGGACCCAGCCGAAAAATCCTTGTTTTAGGGTGTGATAAATTAAGATAAATGCCTTATCACCCGTCTTCTTCTCGAAGCGATCGATGTCAAATGTCACCATATATAGTTTTTTTATTTATATAAAGTAAAAGCAGTCTTCTTTATCAAGTAATTGTCGATCGTAAAATGCCACCTTAGCATTTATAAACTTTTAAAAATAAATAAATAAAAGTCTTACTAAAATTCTCAAATTCATCGCACCGGTCGGTGGTCCTTTAGGGCGGGCCCACAAAAAGTATGCGAAGGGTAGAGGAAATTGATGTTATCCACTGTTTCTTTACTTGGCACACCATTCTAGGCTCTCTGTCCAGACGAATATCTTATAGCTCGTAGGATAGCATCACATAGCTCTTGACTCAGTGCTTTTATTATTGTGGCCTCTGCAGTGCAGTCTCATCGTCTCATGAGCA